CTCATTTATCTCATTTATTAAGTAAACCACACTCTAAACAATTCCGTTGTGGACTCAACATCAAGTTCTGTGCTGCTCAATTAGAGTTTTATTCATCCACTGAAGATTAGTCAGATCTTCAATCGTATCCGCTTCCCATGAATACTAAAGTCATGTGAAACACAGGCCCATGTGCATCCCACCAGAGATTCAACACACCATCAAAACACTCTAATTTGATTAAGTCCCTTCATTCATCTCAAATGCCAATGCTCTCGCTCTTGAAACGGTGGGCTGGTGGTACGAATTCAATCAAGGATTTTTGACGCCATCTTTTCCCTTTTTAATTAACTGCGGCGTAGTCGCTATCCGCCTTTTTCCCACCAGTGACCCCAAACTGGAGGATACGGAGCTTCAACCTGGATGGATCTCAAAGGAGCCCCATCACAACAGAAAGACATGCTCATCGACTGATAAAGACCACCATTATTCTGAGATAATTAGACAATGGGGGAAGAGTATTCAATTAAAATGCCCCTCCTTCTGGGACAAGGACGTCCCAGTGAACCTCCCAAAGGTCTGGTTCTCAGAGGCAGGATGGGCCAGTGGAAAGAGTCTCCTCTGGGGTCTCTCATGGCTATCTACCACACCATCGGCTGAAGAGGCTCCCTTGGGGAGCGCGCCGGTATTTTACATGAGGTGTTAATGAGTGGGCAGAGCCCTTTTCTAGTTATAAAGCGGTGCTAATTTCCTCTGGGCTGCAAGACGCTCATGTGTCCCTTGAGTCCAGAGGGGCGGATCGTGGTCTTTGTCCAACTCCGCCTCTTTTTCTCTGTTTTGGTCTGTTAATCATTTGCTCTGTCACTCTTTAAGAGCACTCTCTCATGTGCACTCATCTGTTGTTGTTTAATAAGAGAGGACGAAGATGGTCAGCAATGCCCTCAAGTTCAAACAAACGTGTCATTCATCAACTTTATGTTGTTGTAGGTTAGTCAAGTGAGCTAAGGAGAAGTTTACCCAAAAATAAACATTTGCTGAAAATGTACCAACCGTTGGGCCATCCAATCTGTTCTTCATTGGAACAGATTTGGAGAAATTGAGCATTGCATCACTTGCTCACCAATGGATCCTCTGCAGTGAATGGGTGCCGTCAGAACGAGAGTCCAAACAAAAATCCACAAGTAATCCACACAACTCCAGTCCATCGATTAACATCATGTGAAGTGAAATGCTACATGTTTATAAGAAACAAATCCATCATTAATAAATTTGTAACCTCAAACCTTTGCTTCTGGCTAAAATATGAATCCTCCAGTGAAAAAGCAGTGTTGTCTGAATCAGGAGAGAAATATACACAGATTAAGCACTATTTACAAGCAAAAACAGTCCAAAACAGTTATTAACAAATATGGATTTTGAGGTGAGAGGACAACAGGGGATGAATTTTTTCACTGGAGGAAGCGTTTTTATGAATTATGGGCTGGTGTTTTTGCCAGAAGTGACTGTTTATGCCTTAAAGTTAATGCCTTGATGGATTTGATTCCTACAAACATGCAGCTTTTCACTTCACAAAACATTAACTGATGGACTGGAGTGGTGTAAACTACTTTAGGATTATTGTGATGTTTTTATCAGCTGTTTGGACTCTCATTCTGACGGAATCCATTCATTGCAGAGGATCCAATGGTGAGCAAGTTATGTAGCCTAATGCTAACTTCTCCAAATCTGTTTCAATGAAGAAACATCTACATCTTGGATGTGCTGCGGGTCAAGGGCCGAGTCAATTTTCACTAAATGTTCATTTTTGCTCGAACTATTCCTTTAAACCTACAACTTCAAGTTGATGAATGATGAGTTTGCTTGAACTTGAACCCAAAACACGAATCTGCGTCAATTAGCCTATAGTTCTTTTTTTTATTTATTTTTTTTACTCTAGCTAAACTGTAACTTCCACGGCAGCAAAGTGACACTGGTGGGTTTAATGTGTCAAACAGCCATTCAGTGATCTATTACTAATTGAAAACCATGGAATGCTAACCAGACAAATTCCGTTATCGTTGAAATCTAAAGACTCACGGCTTATGCATCGTCTTCACTTAAACCTGTGCGGAGATAGGACTTTCTCCACTGGATTAACAACTCTACCGTCGTCTAACGAACAAAACGAGTATTTATGATAGCAATGAATATTTATAGCTGCTATCAGATATCACTGGGATAACAGTTGAATCAGGTGTAACCAGATTCCACCCGTCACATCTATGTTATTCCTTTGCGATAGCTAAATATCATGCAGTGGGTAAATGATTGACTCGATCTATCCAGACCACTGGGTGTTGTCTTTTCTTCCATGGAAATTCAGATAACCGTTTCCTGGTCAGAGAAAGGATACATGTCTTTACTTGAGCAGTTGTCAATGAGCAGCAAGTCAACAAAGTATTGCGGCTCTGAAGAGGAATAAACATGGGGAAATCAGTCACAGTGCTTCACTGGCTTGTCCTCACGCTGGGACTAGTTGCGGCTCAAGCAGGTAAAGTCTTGACAGATGTTTGGTTTTTGGAGGGAAATCTAGAAATGTGGAAACCAGCATCACTGAGCATATTATAGTAAGACCCAGTGCTCAATTGCAATCGTTTTATATATTTTAACGTACAGTTTTTGTACTATGGCACATGTTTTTTTTAGAGAAAGCAGAGCAAGCTCTGCCAAACTGGCTTACGGGAATCATTGCCGTTGGTGTGTTCCTCTTTCTGGTCTTTGTCGTCTTCCTTGTAAACAAAGCCTGGTGTGAAACTCCAAGGTAAATATCTGCTTCAATTTCAACACCCTACCAAAAACGGTAGCAATTTTAACATTAAAGGGACACAGTTCAACTAAAAATGAAATATTGTCAACATTTACTCACGCTCTTGTCGTTCCAAACCTGTATGACTTTCTTCTGCACAACACAAAATAATTTTGAAAAACTTAGTCAATGGGTCCAAAAAAAACCAGCATTTTCTCCAAAATATCTTCTTTTTTGTTGTTTCACTTAAGAAAGTCAGTCATAAATGTGAGTAGGCCTATAATATAGGCCTCTCTTTATTAATGAATTAATGAAACTCTCTCTTTAATAATGTAATCCTTAATTTTCTAATCAAAAATAGGCATACATGTCTGAATGATGGTAATTGTAAAGTCTCACAAAACATGTTTACCTAGGCTCTCTTTATATTTCATGCAATACACCTTTTATTTAGCAACTAGTTTCTGAAATCTGGTCTGTGTAAACATTTTAATCTGTCTTTGTTGACTAAAGCAAACCAGAAGCAGTACCCAATGAATACTCCATGACCAATGGATCAACCCATGAAACCAGTCTTGACGCAGTCAGGTAATAATACCTCAATAATACAGCCGTGATAAAGCTCAGAGTGATTCAAGACTATTAAAAGATACACTATCATTAATGATACCACATATGGCCTGAAATCATCTTCAGAATAAACGCCTCATCTGATGCTTTACGCTAAGCATGATGTTCCTGAAATTATTCTCATTGCAACAGATTTAAATGTTTCAAATGTTGAAATGTAAATGTTAAATTCAGTGATTAAAAATGAATGGAAAAGAGTGAATAGGCCTATTCCCTTTTAAATGTATGTATTAATCTCTGGAATCGTGACAATTGTTTTTCAGGAGCAGTGAAAACCCTAAAGCATATGAGAACGTGATTGTTCACCAAACCGAAGAAAAAGTGACCGAGCTGTAATCTCAAGGAAACGTCCACAACCAGCCGAGTCAGCATGCCATGTTAACCTTATTTGTGTTGTAATAAGTAATCATTTTAACAGCTGACAGTGTTTTTTGTTTGTTTTTTATTTGATTATACATTAATTGTAGTTCATTTTAGAGGGCATTTGTTGTTGTAACAATCTCTGAACATTTTAATATAATATCAGACATTCAGTATATCACTTGTTGCGCAAAACTCTTTAAATAATTTTTTTAAAAAATCAATAATAATATTAATAAAATCATATATGCTACTATTCAAAAGTCTTTTGGTTTGGTAGGACTTCTAATGTTTTTGTAGGCTGCATTTATTTGATCAAATACACAGTAATATTGTGAAATATTATTACAATTTAAAATAACTGCGTTCTATTTTAATATATATTTTAAATGTCATTTTTTCCTGTGATGCAAAGCTTAGATTTCCGCAGCCATTATTCCAGTCTTCAGTGCTGTCCAAGAAACATTTATTTTTAATGTTGAAAACAGTTGTTCTGCTTAATATTTTAGTGGAAACATTTTTGATGAATAAAGTTAAAAAGAAAAGCATTTATTTTAAATATAAATATTTTGTAACATTATAAATATCTTACACTTTCCATTAAATGTAATGCATGCTGAACAACGTTATTAATTAATTTTTTTTTTTTTTAAATCTTACCGGTCAGTCACTAATCTTTGAAATGGTAGTGCATGTAAAACCATCACAGAAATGGCTGGTGTGTGTGTTTTTTTGGGCATTAAAACATTTAAATCATGCTTAAAATAAAAAAAAATTCGAAATCAAAAGATGCTTAAAATGAAAATGACTTTATTTTCTGTCACTTCAGATAAATTCTACTTGTCCAAAATAAAGTCACAGACCATAATGACCACTTGTTTGTTTTGCAAATGTTAATAAATCAGCTTTATTTCAGGCTTAGATCTGTATCTAATGTATGCATTTAGCTAAATGGTTTCTTTGGACTTTAAAAACACTACACTGACAGAAAAATGGCAGATATAAAGGTGTTACTACTCGAGTCATTTGAATGGAAGCCACTTTTTGTGGTTCACAGCCCAAATGTAAAGATCTAGCAGAAGGTAGCAGACTGAGGCGTTGCATTTCTTTAAGGAGAAAGGGAAAGACAGGCATAGGAGATACAGGCAATCTTTTTAAAGGGACATAGCGCTGAACAGTTCAGAACATACTGTCCACATGGCACGAAAATTCAAGAGGCATCGTATGATGATGTGCTTACGAAATCCTAGTGGAAGAGACGGTCTGGACGAGGCTTCCACGCACTGTCTACAACCTGGAGAGCCCCGATAGTCTCTGAAGAGCCTGCTACACTTCCTCTAGGAGAGAGACTGACACAGGATATCCTCATATTGTGACACACAGACACACACACAGTGTCAAACTAGGATGTGCTAGACATCTTCATAAAGACAAAAGCAATGCAAAAAAGCCCTAAAAAAGTAAATAAATTACATATTTACACTGAAATGAAAGACGTGCTCAATTGAATTTTTCTTGAAGTATTCACAAAGCTACCCTGCAACGTAAAGAACCTGATTGAAATGATCCTAATATCTAATACTAGCTATACAAAACATCCCAGTACAATCTGATCTGCCCGTTCCAAGGCACATCTGTCATCCCTTATTATTAACGCTTGTCCATTAATTAATCTACATACTACATACAATTCAACTGATTTCTTAAAAATAGGGCGGGTTTGTCAGTAGGTTGTGTACTTGTGCATTTTAATTGAAAAAAGATCAGGGCAACCACATTAGAAGTTATTGTATGTGGACTGAAAGGATAATTACAAACAAATTGTGTGTGTTAGCATGTGTTGTGCATCTGCTACTTAAATTTTTCCTCCTGGTCTTGAGTTACCAGCACTCATTTCATCAAAACAACCTTCTCTAATATTGCCCCATAATTCACCCGTTCACTGTCACCAGTGGAGAGGCTACATGTCCGTGATTAAAACTAAGACAATGTTATGAGTATTTCTCATTGACTTCGACACCAGGTGCACAAACAGTAACAGGGCAGAGTTTAAACGATCGAGTGCAAATCAGGAAGTAAGGGTCGTCACATGTGGTTGCCGCAAGCCCGCCAGCCGCTCCTTCGTTGAATCCGCCAGCTGTTCCTCAATAAAGCCGCCGGCCTCTGCTCACTCTAGCCGTTCCTCACCCACCTGACTGGCTATGGCACTGATGTTGGTGTCGGCAACCACCTGTCAATCACAGACGGACACTGTCAAACATTTAAAGCAAATAAATGACTCGGTCTTGAAAGTGTGTTTTCTTCCATTTAGATGTGTGTGTTTTCACAAATGACAGTCTGCCTGTAGATAACAGGAAACTGCTCTCTATGTTGTGTGTGTTTGGCACTGAAATGTATGCGACCAATCCTTTAATGTTCTTCTTGGTGACTGTTGGCGACCGATCGCTCAGCCGCTGTTCATCAAACCTCTGTCTCCCTCACCAGAATCAAAAATGCCTTTTTCTGTCATGTTTCATTGAAATTTTCCTCTTCCATTAAACTCTGGGCTGGCTATGAGGGCAGTGGCATATTAATTTGCATATTTAATTAACGGCAAAGCAATTAAAAGTAAAATACACAACAATAAACAAAAGCTAATTAATGAATGAGTCAACAACAACGGAGAAACACTCCCAAGTCATCACACTCGCTATCTTCACCTACACCTACTGAGAGAAAGAAAGAAAGAACGAGACAGACAGAAAATAAAAAAAAAGGCTAAGAAAAAAAAGAAAAAAAAGAAAGTGATAAAAGAGAGTGAGAAAAGAAAAATAAAGGCTGAAAAAAGAAAGAGAGAGATAAAAGTGAGAAAAAAAGAGAAATATAAATAAATATCTAAAAACAAAGAGGGACACTGATAAAAAAAGAAAAATGAAAGAGGCTGAAAAAAGAAAAGAGACAAAAGAGTGATAAAAGATAGCGGGGAAACAAGAAAAGAGATAAACAGAAATGAAGAAAAGGATAAAGAAAGAAAAAAGAAGTGTGTTAAAAGAGAATGAGAAAGAAGAAAGGGAAGTAAAGAAAGGAGGAAGACAAGAAATAAAGAAAAAAAAGAAAAAGAAGGGAAAGAAAGGAAAAAATGCTCATATGTTATGTATTTGAGGTCTGATACGTGTGGGATGTGTGGGACCGGAGAGAGAGGGCTAGCATTTGCCATCCAGTCCAATACACTTAAAGAACCTGTTCATACAGCATTTAATCTCTTTTATAAAATGAGATTTTGGCCAAATGTATTTTACAACAGGAAAAGCTGAGCACCCATATAGCCACAACAAACTTTGTAACCTGTTGATGGAAACATAATGCGATGCTGCCGTTTTATTGACGGACAAAATGCATATTTGCACACATCCGCTGGTCAAAAACCCCATAACTGCATTTGAGTTTGACACAAAGGGACTGAGTGATCCTCGTCACCTAGGTAAAATATATTTCTAAAAAAATTATTTGATTTATTAGTGCCAATACACTTATTTTATTAACATGTAATCATATTATATGGTCGCATGGTTCAAGTTTATGCTGTTAATATGCACGTAGCTAGCTAATTTCTTAATCTCATACTCTATACTCTCCACTCTTCGTCACATGTATAAAGGTAGTAAAACATGGTTTTAAGTAATGTTTTAGTAATAAAAAAAAACATTACAGAATCAGATCACTGTGAAATCTTTATATTTTATCATGCATAATGTAATATTCTGTATATACAGTATATATATATATATATATATACATACACACAAACACACACATACATAAATATATATATAGGGGAGAGCTCTGGTACAATTCAAACTTTTCACTGCAACTGTACTTTTCACAATATTTTATACATTTTTCATTGCTGGCCTACTTTAGACCCTCATGAGACCAACATCCCTGGTCTTCCACAGTATCAAGTTTTTGCCTTGATACTTGCATATATTATTATTATTATGGATATTAATAGTGAATAAATCTAAAGCTTTTGAGACTATTATTTTGTGTTATTTAATTTGTCATTAAGATGTGACCAAAATGGGCTTTTTCAGTTTCAGCACATGCCCCTCAAAAGGTCTGTGCACGGTCCTGGTTCATAGAAAATTACATTGTGGCTACTAATCTGTTGCTAGGTTGCTAGTAGTTGCCAGGGCACTGAAATGTAATGCAATTTCTGAATGTTCCAAGCAGTATTTACTATATTGCTATGCCACTGTTAAGGCGTTGGCATGCTGTTGCTAGGGTGTTCTGAGTTCTGATGTTTGCGTTTGTGAAAATGGAAAATATACATACATACACACACACACACACACATATATATATATATATATATATACATACATGCACACACACACACACACATACATATATATATATATATATATATACACACACACACACAAATTAAATTAAAAAAGTGAGAAAGCTACAGATGAAGTGGGAGTTGGTGAGAGATATATACTTCAGTTGGGTGGAACAACTAAACTTCTCAATGCACATTATCACAGGCAGAATGACAAAATATCAAATTGTCTGATTTCTGTGACATGAGTAATAGCATAGGGCATTACATATGTCCAAGTAAACATATAGCAGCCAGAGAGTGAGTGAGGAAGCTTTCTCTATCAGGTCAATTGCTATCATGTCAGAGCAGTAATTTGAAGAAAATCCCACTGAGCAAGTTAATTAAAACAAGTTACGCAACAATATCGCAAGAATGCACTTTACGTTCGAACAATGGACCACGCTTTTGCCGAAATAGTCATGCCTGCATTTGTGTTCTTGCTAAAGTACTGTATGTTTTGGCCCAAAGGTATTTAAAACCCCTTCACATCATGAACGATAACTATAAAGATACATTTTACTGTAATATTAGCATCCACAACAACGTATGATAAGCATGAACTGCAGTTTTGTCATGTGCCACTTTAATAAATGCTTGGACTCTTTAAAGCAAAATGGATTCTGATTGGCTGCCAATGGCTTTATCATTCATCAGCTGAAAAAATCAGTCTGAAAATGATTTCAACAGAATTGTTTCTTTGTGCCGTTATTGTTATAGTTGATATAGTAGAACAAGTTTTAAAACTATATTGTTATCGTTATCATTATAGCCATCGTCCTTGGTGTTAACAGGCCTTTAGCCAGAAATTGGTTGCTTTGTTTGTGTGGTCTACATTATAAGCAGGACATTTTTTAATATAACTCCGATTGTATTCGTTTGAAAGAAGAAAGTCATATACACCTAGGATGGCTTGAGGGTGAGTAAATCATGGGGTAATTTTCATTTTTGGGTGAACTATCCCTTTAACGAACAAAGAGTGTTATTGAGTTTAACGTGTACCTGGAGGACGATGGTGCCGTAAGCATTCTTCAGCATATTTACGACATCCCCATGAGTCAATCCATCCAGAGACTGAGAGTTGATGCTCACAATCCTGTCACCTACCTAAGAGAGGTACATTAAAGGAAAAAAATGACTTGAAATTCATTCACACTGATACAAACCCAATCCCCAGCAGTGCCCTTCACACCCAAACTACTGTATGATGCTTAATCAATAACTCTCGGACTGATTACACAGGACGAAAGTGGAAAATGAGCAACAGAAAGGAACGGGAAAGGCAAGGATGCTGTACTTTGAGGCGATGTGTCCTGGCAGCCACACCGTTAGCCTGGATCATGGCGATGAAGATGGGGATGTCGCCCAGAGGACTACCCTTACCGCCCGCTATACTGACACCCAAAGCATCGGTGGGACCCTGAGAGAGTGAGACAAGGGTGCAGTAAAAATGAAACTATTGAGCACCATAGCTAAACCTATACTGAGCTGTTCAGAGGTAAATGGGCTTACCCGTGTGATCTCCACTGTCCGAACACCTGGCTCTGTTCCTGGAGGGATATATATAAAAAAAAAAAATTAAAAAACAAATTCACACTAACTTTCGATTTACAAACCTTTAAAAGTTTAAAGGGATAGTTTGCCCAAAAACAAATATTCTGTCATTAATTACTCACCGTCATGTAATTCCAAACCCATAAGACCTTCTAGATGCACACATTAAGATATTTTTAATGAAATCCGAGAGCTTTCTGACCCTGCATAGACAGCAACACAACTGACACGTTCAAGGCCCAGAAAGGTAGTTAGGACATCGATAAAATAATCCATGTGACATCTGTGGTTCAACCGTAATATTATGAAGCTACGAGAATACTTTTTGTGCTCAAAGAAAATGAAAATAATAACTTTATTCATCAATTTATTATCTTCCATGTCAGTCTTCACCGGCATTCATGACAGTACCACGACAGTACCTCTCTTTGCAAGCAAGGTGCAGTGCATGTGTGTTCTATATCAGACTCTAACCAGAACATATCAGAACCTAACCCTAAACCAGCAGCATCACACACATATTTGTCGTGGTACTGTTGTGAATGCCGGCAAAGACTGACACTGAAGAGAAGAAATGTTGAATAAAGTCATTATTTCTGTTTTCTTTGCGCGCAAAAAGTATTCTCATAGCTTCATAACATTACGGTTGAACCACGGATGTCACATGGACTATTTTAATGATGCCCTTACTACCTTTTTGGGCCTTGAATGTGGAAGTTGCAATACATTCTAAGCTCTCGGATTTCATCAAGTATATCTTAATTTGTGTACCGAAGATGAACAAAGGTCTTACGGGTTTTAAAGGACATGAGGGTGACATTAATGTCAGAATGTTCATGAACTATCCCTTTAAATGAGTAAACCATGAGATCCCACTTGCTCGATGGGATTAAAAGTGGTAGCTGAAAGTAAAACTTTTGCGAAATTTCTTGAGCAAAAAAGGTCCATTGTCCATTGTGTGATGTATAAAGGACAGCTAACAAAATAAGTCACTTTAAAACCAAGTAGATTTCTGATGGTCAACGTGGCAAATTTGTGCGGCCTACTTAAACCCTGCTAGGGGAAATCTTTCGCCCTTACACGAAATTCCCGATAGCATCGATTTCGAACTAAATAACTGGAAAATATGACAAACAACAGCAAATGTGACTGCAATTTTAATCTAATTCCAACAATAGAAGAAAACAAGCACACTGTTTACAGAGGCACTTTCTAAACACTGCCGCTAGCTGTTGTTGTAAGGCTGATTTATAGCCGTTTTATGGCTGTTTCCTGCTACTTCAGTGCTGATGTGGTGTAAGAAGTACCTGTGCTTTTACTGTTGGGCTCGGTGATGTTTCGGCTGTTGTTGTTGAGGGTTTGAGAGGGGGGCGGAACAACGGCAGGGGGTGTGGGGGTTGGGGCGCTGCTGTTGGCGCTCACATGGCTCATCTAAATGAGAAAGAGTTCGCTGAAGGTGCTATTCCACACATATACGCAAAATGCCATCGCACATGCATACGTCTCGGTTAGTGACAAGTGAGCGCATGCGGACATGTAACCACACACTCCCTTTGCTTTTTCAGGCAGTATGGATGAGTAACACACACAGATGCCCACAGCCGTACACCGCTGGTTCGCCCGTCCGCTAACATGCACTAATGATTGGGTTAGAGATTGGCATGCTGGACCTTCTGGAAATGCCGGGAAAGCCCAATGAGGTGTAGGACACGGGCTACACACCTGACTTCCCTGGGAGGTGCGTCTGGAAGAGATCCAGGAGGCAGCCTTCAGTCGGCCCAGTTCCAACAGCACCTTGCCCCTGGCGCACTGCAGGATCACAGCACACACGTTGACGCACACACAACTTTGGCATTGTGGGCTGTGTCTTCTCGCTCGTATCCTCTCCAACACACTTTCACATACTTTCGAGAACCTTTACACATGTGCAAAGACCTGATGCCACAACATAACACCCTCGCTCTCGTCCAGAGAGCCAAACCCATTGAGCCAAACGACACGGGCTCAGTGCAACCTTATTCAAGTCAACATTTCCCAGAATTCCACCAACTGGCACAATACTGCAGCTTCTTTTTGCCCTGTTCACAACATGAAGGCCTTTTCACATGCCTCCCAAAGAACTGCAGAGAGTGCCATGAATGGACAATTTTCGATTCATTTTCATAAACTATATAATGTATATAATATATTGTAATATGTATAATATATAACAGTGTATTATATAAATATATATATACACATATACATACATATATACACACACACACACAACGTGATGTTTAAGCTAAAATAAAAAAAAATCTAAACATCCTAATAACATGATGGACTTACCTATATATACTGTACATCTTTGTATGTAAATGTATGTGTGTGTTTGTATATTACATAAACAACATTTAGCACAGTTTCAGCTAAAAATCAAACAAACAAACATTCTATTAACTTTTTTTGCGTTATTTGTAACAATTTTATTACTCAATTCAATTTGTTATGAACTTTTTAACGAAATTTCTGGGAGTTAGTGTAGGACGTTACATGAATTTGAATACATCTTAAAACTTACAAAAGGGTTGGGTTGGATATTGTTTAATATCAAATTTTAAGCATATTTTTGGGGACAGCTGATATGCTGATATCTAAACTGACCATAACAAAAACTATGATAAACCAATGTGATGCTACAATGTGAGGCCAAAACCGTTATATGAAGTGTGTTTTAGAGTGAACATGCGTTTGAACTCCATATAAACCAATGAAACAGGTAGGTTAGATAGATACCACATTCAATTTGACAGTACAACTTGTATGCTGACATATCTACCAATCATAGCCCATGCATAAAATTAAATATGATGTCTATACCGGCCATTATGATTATAAGACGTGGAATTCAGTGTTTTTGTCACTTGAGATGAATTATGTGATCCTACATAAAACTTTGGACCCCCCTGAATTCTTCAAGCTCTTTTTAATAGGAATGAACATTGCAAACATTTTTTTAAAAATATAAAATCTTTAAATCATTACTGTAACTGCAGACAAAACAAAATGTTTAAATAAGAAATCCGAAATTGTTTATAAATACCACAGACCTCAACAGCCACTAAATACACAACCAAACAGCGACACCTAGTGGCAGCATGTTGCAACTGCTGCTCCAACTAACTCCAGTCTTGTAATTTAGTTTATGTAAACTGGGCTTTGGGTTTTAGGATTGAGGTGGAGCTCACCTTGAGAATGGCAGCGACGGTCTCCTGTGAGGCCTGTCTCATGTCCTCTCCATCCACAGACAGGATCTGATCACCCTGCATCAGTCTGCCGTCCAGATCAGCCGCTCCGCCCTTCACCACATCCGAGATGAACACACCCTTACCATTTCTGAAGAGGGAGAAAAGGAGAACGAGGAAATTGAGTGTCATGTTTGTGTACAACCAAAATAGTTACTGTATTGTGCAGATTGTTTTACTTTTTTTTTATATTATTGTATTGTGCATTCAATTTTATTATTTTATTTTTTAATTATTATTATTTGGTGCATTTTATTTTATTGTATTATTTAAAAATTATTATAGTATTATAGCATAACTTATTATTTATCAAAACTATTACTGTGTAAAACTACTAATATTATTTTTGTTTTTATTTTATTCTATTATTTTTTAAATGATTTTTACTGCATTGCACATTTGATCTTATTTTGAATTAGTGTATTGTGCATTTCATTCTGTATTGAATGATTATTGTACTGTGCATTTTATTGACAAGTCGCTTTGGATAATTGTACTGTGCAATTTGAAAATGCAAGTTGCTTTGAATAAAAGTGTCTGCTAAATGAATACATTTAAATATATTATTTTAAAATATGATATTGTGCATTTTTTAAATGTTAAAATAATGATTATATTTTATTATGCATTGTTTTAATTATTTGAAAAATGCTTTATTGCCAATTAAAACATTACTGAACTGTGCATTTTATTATTATTTTCAACATTACTGTACTCTGCATTTTATTAAGATACTACTTTAAAATTATATTTTATTATGCTTTTTATTTCATGATATTATTTTAAAATGATTACTATTGTATTGTGCATTTTATTTATCTTTTCATTTTAAAATGATTATTGTTTTTTCCATTCTTTCCCTTTTCTCCTCATAAGGAAAACAAGCTTGCACTCACCTCTTCCCAACGATGCTCAGGCCCAGCCCGCGTCCGCTTCTCTTCTGAAGTTCAACACGGAACATGTCGAGGTTCTCCTCGTCCCTGTATTGCGCCTCGTCGCGCAGGACCGTCAACCTCACTTTGGCCGGTGTTTGCCGTAGAGCAGCTATGGCATCTTCATGAGCCACGCTCCGCAGATCTACTCCATTCACCTGCAGGGGACGCCAGAGAACACAGTCTCCTTACACATTTACCAATAATACAATTATGCAAAATTAACGCTATAGAGAATTACTTAAAAAATATATATATAATAAAAAAAACAATAAAAATGACAAAATTACTAAAAAGTCAACTGAAATAAAAAAAGAAATATGAAAATATAAAAATAAAAGCTAATTCATAATGACGAAATAAATACAGCACATAGCAAAAGCTTATGCTGACACTACTCTATGTCCAGAAGATGGCACTATTGTCAAAGTTAAATACAGAGGAGCACTGTTCAGATCTAAAATAATTCACAATAATGCCGTCAAATTTCCATTTTGCTTAAGGCAGACCAGCTGTCAGTGACATTACAGAGGTGTCCCGCTCTACAACCTTACAACACACTCTCTCATACACACAAACAGACCTCGAGAATCTGATCTCCGGCCCAGACACGACCGTCCCGCGCTGCCGCCCCCTCCTCATACACTTCATGAATCACTATGGCATCCTGAAAAGAGGAGAAATATGTGTGAAGAGGAGAAATATGGCAAAAAAAGAGAAAGAAACTATAAATTCCTATCACTTGTTTCTTAAAGGAACAGCTCCCCTACAAATTCTGTCATCATTTACTCAGCCTTACATTGTTTCAAATGCGTATGAAACAGAACAACTACAATGAACAGAAATTGAAGCTTCAAAGCTTCATAAAGGAGACAAAAGTAATACGAATTGACTCTTTAGCCATCTTTCAAGTCTTCTGAAATCATACCATAGATTTGTGTGAAAAACATTAAAAGTTAAAATTAATTTATCAGTGATTAATATTAAAATGAGCTTATTTTCCATTTTAGTTTAAGATTTAGTACATTTTGTTAGTGCTTGTCATTTTTTCTTTTCCATTTCTACACAGCTATTTATTTTTATTTCAGTTTTAGTTTTAGTAATTTAAATACTTCTATCATTTTTAGTGTTTTAGTACTTTAACCTAAATTATATTTAGTTGCCAAGGCAAAATCCTTGATAAAGATTTTCATGTAATATTTAAATTTTATAGTATTTCAGCTGTATTTTAATTACTGAAAACGATTTTTAATAGTTTTAATTTTAGTTGACAATATCAACAATGGTCATAATGCACTGAAAATCTTGACATTTTCTACTTTTGTGAATCAATCATTCTTTTCAATCGGATCTTTTTAATGAATCTCTCTCGGTTCACAAAAATTGAACGATTTGTTTACGAATTAAACTGATCAGGTTCTTGAGTTCAACTCACCGACTTCATTCGGTTAAGAGCTCACAGGAGGAAAAGATTATCACCGAATAACTGATAACAAAAATAGTCAGTCTGTTCCTCGTACAAAGCCTTTGTAACACAAGTAATATAGTGCATGTGTCATACGGATCAATTTTATACTTTTATTTGCATCCTTTATTGAAGCTTGAAAGCTTTAGTCACTATTATTTGTAACTGAATGGAAAAGAGTAACCTGCACATTTTCTGAAATATCTTCTTTTGTGTTCCACAGAAACGATATGTCGTACTGATTTGGAGCGACATGAGGATGCATAATTTCTGCTCCCCTTCACCTTTAAAATCCTTTTTTATAAAAACACACACGAAACATTTTTTTTCTGCTGAAAACCTGTGGAGCCCGAGGGCTGGTTTTGTTGACTCATGGAAGCCTTTGACAGCTAAACTAGCCCACAGAGCTGGAGCGCTGCAGAATTATGATGGCGAGGTGGGAGTACACTGATAAAAACCTGAGGCGATGCTCGTGTCTGCAGTCGGGCAGAGAAAGTCAGGGCAGACAAAAAGCTCCTGCTGTGACCTGACTGTTCCGATGCAGCCCTGCGGCACACTAGAAAGAATGAGCCCTGTCACTTTTATCTAGCTATTTTTTAAGATAAGAAAGCATCCTGGGTGTGTACGCTACCAAATCTAGGTAAAATAAGCAATCAACAACAATAAATGTGCTATTGACTGAATCTGACATTAAAATGACTCATTCATGCATGTTTCAATTAAAGGAGCTGTATGTGCTAACTAACACTTAAATCACTGATTTACAAAACTGAAATCATAAAACAGAAAAAAATACAAAAGACATAATACAAAAAAAATACAACAGAAAAAAACAAAAGACAAAACTAAACACAAAAACAAAAAGCCGAAAGATGAAAACTATATAGACATTTTTTTTGAAAAATACAAATAAAATACAAAATATAAACATATAATATATAAAAATATATAATAATAATATAATATATAAAAAAGCAAAAATTAAAACAAACACAAAAGACAAATCAAAAACTAAAAAGAAAAACAAAACAGAAAGAAAAAACTAAACACATACAAGACAAAAAAAACCTACAAATTAAAATAACAAAACTGAACAAAAAACATAAAAAAAACAATCAATAAAAAACCTAGCAAAAATTTAAACAAATACAAAAGAATAACAAAACAAAAAACTAAATAAAAAACAAGACAGAAAAAAACTGAACAGAAAAAAAAACAAATACAAAAGACAAAAGAACAAAAAAACGAAAACAAAAAAGGCAAAATTGCAAAAAAACTAAGACAAAATAAAAAAACTAAACAAAAAAATATAGTAAAATTAAAACAAATACAAAAGGCAAGGCAAAACAAAACAGAAAACAACAACAACAAAACAAAACAAATAAACAATACAGAAAAATAATAGCGAAAAACAAACAAAAACAATAAAAAAAAAAAGCAAAACCATACAAAATAAAGCAAAGCACATTTTATTTCTGGTATCATACCAGCTGCGTATCTTTGCCGCCGAAAATACAAAAGACATAATACAAAAAAAATACAACAGAAAAAAACAAAAGACAAAACTAAACACAAAAACAAAAAGCCGAAAGATGAAAACTATATAGACATTTTTTTTGAAAAATACAAATAAAATACAAAATATAAACATATAATATATAAAAATATATAATAATAATATAATATATAAAAAAGCAAAAATTAAAACAAACACAAAAGACAAATCAAAAACTAAAAAGAAAAACAAAACAGAAAGAAAAAACTAAACACATACAAGACAAAAAAAACCTACAAATTAAAATAACAAAACTGAACAAAAAACATAAAAAAAACAATCAATAAAAAACCTAGCAAAAATTTAAACAAATACAAAAGAATAACAAAACAAAAAACTAAATAAAAAACAAGACAGAAAAAAACTGAACAGAAAAAAAAACAAATACAAAAGACAAAAGAACAAAAAAACGAAAACAAAAAAGGCAAAATTGCAAAAAAACTAAGACAAAATAAAAAAACTAAACAAAAAAATATAGTAAAATTAAAACAAATACAAAAGGCAAGGCAAAACAAAACAGAAAAAACAGAAAACAACAACAACAAAACAAAACAAATAAACAATACAGAAAAATAATAGCGAAAAACAAACAAAAATAATAAAAAAAAAAAAGCAAAACCGGACAAAATAAAGCAAAGCACATTTTATTTCTGGTATCATACCAGCTGCGTATCTTTGCCGCCGACTATACTGAGACCTAGTCCAGACCGGCCTTTAGAAATCTCAATAACAGTCTCTTGTCCTGGAACTATGGGACACGTAGCAGGGTCTGAAACACACAGAGAGAGATAAAGATGATGCAAGTCCTTCATGTTCTGTGTTTTTAAAAACACTCAGAGTGAAAAGAAAATGAATTCCTCTTGGAAAAAACAACAGCTGTCAGTGTTCAAAGAGGCAGAGGCAAATCCACATGGCAGCGCTGTGTTGTTTTCATTTCAGTCTTGATTAAACATGCATTTGGGCACCACAGATCGCAGCGCTACATCAAAAAAAAAAAGTCCATATAAACATGAAAATTAATGTAACAACGTAAAAGTGTTTTAAACTAAATCTGGGACACTGAGCGTGTTTCACCTTTGCTGCAGTACTCGAAGTCAGGGTTGGTGCCAGAGACTGGCACGGATGATCCCGAGGACGTGACCTCCAAAGAACTGGCTGACGGCCTGGTGGAATTCCTCTGGATATTTGGAAGACTGGTGATCTGGAGACGATCCAGGACAAGGGCGAGTTTGCAGGAGAGACACAGAGGTTAGACTGTTTACTAACGGCTGCCATGTTTTGTCTAGGCAGAGCTTTCATGTTTTGGCACCTGTTTAATTGAGTAAAAATCTCATTCAACTCACATGCAACTCAAAGTTAAAAGGAACTCAAAATGAATGCATTAATGATGACTAAGAAAGTTAAATGTGTTGCAAATGGTGTTTTGTGTAGCACAAACATATACTTTATTGAACAAACACACCTGCTCCACAAGAGGCTTTGGTGACTGTTCGCTTGGAGACTCCAATATCTTCTCTGAGGATTTCAGCTTCTGAGAAGATTAATAGACCGTAATTAGTTCTATCACTCAGTATAACAGACTACACAACCCAAATTTAATGGAGCAATTATGAAACTAACATTCATGGCACTTTTTGATTCATGAGTAAAACGGTAAGGATAGGAATGCATTACTAGTGATGTGATAAATGTTTTAAACATTTTTTAAAAATTTCCATAAATACATTGGCTGCATTAAAAATCTGGTATTCAAAATTTTAAAGCTGAAAATAAAAAAGATTTAGGATTTTTTAAAAAAGTTATGTAAAAAAAGAAGGAAAAATATATAATATAAATAACACATTTATAAATATATGGGTATTTTATATATCTATTTATTAATAATAGGTATACAGGTGCATCTCAATAAATTAGAATGTTGTGGAAAATTCATTTATTTCAGTAATTCAACTCAAATTGTGAAACTCGTGTATTAAATAAATTCAATGCACACAGACTGAAATAGTTTAAGTCTTTGGTTCTTTTAATTGTGATGATTTTGGCTCACATTTAACAAAAACCCACCAAT